AAAAAAAATTAAAAAAACTTACCTTTTACTTTCTCGAACGTCTTTAGGATGAGTTTACAATACTCAACTGGTGATAGACCAGTTGGCAACCATGCTTCCTACATACATTTAGGTAGCGTATGTTTTCAGTGCTTTCAACTTCACTCGGTTCACCACCTTGGAACCTAGAGGTAAAAGCCAGAACTTTAAGTGGTTAAATAATATTATACATTCTTCAAAGTTAATAAAAGAACCCATATAGTATACTCAAAGTGTGACCCGACCATTCTAAGCTTTTCGAGACGAAATCTATAAGAAACATCCCAGACAACACTATCCATCAAGAGAAGGCGATCTTACAAAGGCGATCTTATAGTCTCACAAGAGAAGCGCAGAAAAATACACAAACCCAACACATATGATCATGCATGCAGAAAAATAACCTAAAAAAACCAATTAAAAATCAATGTTCAGGACAATATAGGAACCTTAAAACAACATAACCAACTCATCTACAGACACTAATGACCAACACCTTCAAATTCTTTAATCAACAATCAACATAAGAAACATTCCATCAAGCAGCAGTAATGATCAAGCAAAGAGACATTAAAAAGGAAAAGAATAAACAAAAACAGACTACTCTAACGGCAGCCCTCAAAATCATCTTACAATATCACAAGAAAGGCAAACAGAATATAATTTATTTCCCTTAAATATTAAAAAAGAAACCTGCCTTTTCTTCATGTAGGGCATGGCCTCCATAAGTTGCGCAAGATTGATCTCCTTGGAGAGATTCTCCATCAATTCAGGGACATCAAGATCAAAATGGAGAACATGTTTTATGTCGTCTTCGGCATACCTCCTACTATAATGAGCCACGAACTTGGACTCTCCGCAAAACTTCCAATCCTTATTACTACGGAATTCCAACCAGTCATATGACGTAGACCATGTAACAATAAGAACAAGGTCCAGATCCTTTAGATCCTTTTTCTGCAGATGACAAAAAACATTAAAAAAGAAATAAGAACTAAATAATATTAAGCACAACATAGAAACCTGAAGGAACAGAGTACCTGAAGAGATCTTTGCGAGTTTAAGCTTTCTCTCTCCAGCGAGAGTCGAACGACATCATGGGATTTCTGCGAGTATCCTCTTTCTTGTCGATTAACATCACGGGAGTGTCCGCTTTCTCGCTCACGACGCGATGATTGTGCTAGGTTAGTTGTCTGCATGTTAAGAACTGGCCTCATTTTAAGAGCTTGTCTCATTTGATCTGCCCCATATATATATATATATATATATATATATATATATATATATATATATATATTGCAATTTTCTAGATTTGTTGTTTGTTTCTAAATGTTTATTATATTGGAAAGTATCTCCGTAAAAATAATCATACCATTTTAATTTCAAAAAAATTACCAAGTTTGTTAGACAGATAAATCCGATTAGATAAATGATTAATTATTTAAGATATTATATTAATTATATCATAAAGAAATCAGTTAGCTAATGTAGATAAAATACATTATATTGATTAGTTTGTTAGGAATGTGCTTATATGAAAATCAAGAAGAAATAAAATACCAAAAAAAAAAAAAAAAATGCATACGATCTTTTTCTGTAAATGTTTGAATTTATAATTTTAATACCGAATTTAGATATATCACATAAGGAAAAAATAATAATAAACATTTATTAATATACTAAAATACATAATTTAGAATTTCATATAAAGTAAAAGGTAAGATAATTTCAATGATGAAAGTTATTAGATAGCAATTGATAGACAATTATATATTTTTTTATTATTATTATGTCATATCATGTTGTCATTTAATATTGTACAAAAAAAATGTACACGTAGCTTTTTCCTAAATAAAATTAGTTCTACCAAGTCATACACATACCATAAATATAAGAACAATCACATAAAAACATAAACAAAGAATTGTATAAAATTGAAGGAATATCTAAACAACAACCAACATTCACCACTCACACGTGGTAATTATTAGCAGAAAATTAATAGTAGCATTCATCACAGTTCTAAATAAAAAGAATAGAAGAATAAAAAAAAATCCATGTTATGAACTCATAACACCAGCAACCCATAGTCCACTACTACTATGATTAAATTCCATGTTATGAACTCATAACACCAGCAACCCATAGTCCACTACTACTATGATTAATAGAACTACAACCAAGGTATGAACTCCCTGTTGGATACCATAAAACTGTCAGTTCGCACACCGGTAAATTTGCACTCGGGTGAATCATCATTCGGACTATCGGCGACATTCATTCCAGCCTCGAATAGAATAACAGTAGAGGCTTTTCGTTCCCCAAATTCTTCTCCTATATTATAAAGCTCCACGGTCCTGAAAGCTCGAAATTTTTATTTGAACTCCTTACAGTTCAACCATTTTCCCACGTCCAGAGTAGATTCAACAGCTAAAAATAATAATAATAATAATAAAGTGAGAAAATAAAAACATAAAAATCATAAAGCTAATATATGTACATAAAGGCAAAAAAAAACATACCTTTTACTTTCTCGAACGTCTTTAGGATGAGTTTAAAATACTCAACTGGTGATAGATCAGTTGGCAACCCATGCTTCCTATACGTTCAACTTCACTTGGTTCACCACCTTGGAACCTAGAGGTAAAAGCAGCAGCTTTAAATGGTTAAATAATATTATACATTCTACAAAGTTAATAAAAGAACCCATATAGTATACTCAAAGTGTGACCCGACCATTCTCAGTTTTTCGAGATGAAATCCATAAGAAACATTCCAGACAACACTATCCATCAAGAGAAGGCGATCTTACAAAGGCGATCTCATAGTCTCACAAGAGAAGCACAGAAAAATACACAAACCCAACATATATGATCATGCATGCAGAAAAATAACCTAAAAAAACCAATTAAAAATCAATGTTCAGGACAATATAGGAACCTTAAAACAGCATAACCAACCCATCTACAGACGCTAACGGCCAATACCTTCAAGTTCTTTAATCAACATAAGAAACATTCCATCAAGCAGCAGTAATGATCAAGCAAAGAGACATTAAAAAGGAAAAGAATAAACAAAAATAGACTACTCTAACGGCAGCCCACAAAATCATCTTACAATATCACAAGAAAGGCAAACAGAATATAATTTATTTTCCTTAAATATTAAAAAAGAAACCTGCCTTTTCTTCATGTAGGGCATGACCTCCCTAAGTTGCGCAAGATTGATCTCCTTGGAGAGATTCTCCATCAATTCAGGGACATCAAGATCAAAAGGGAGAACATGTTTTATGTCGTCTTCGGCATACCTCCTACTATAATGAGCCACGAACTTGGACTCTCCGCAAAACTTCCAATCCTTATTATTACGGAATTCCAACCAGTCATATGACGTAGACCATGTAACAATAAGAACAAGGTCCAGATCCTTTAGATCCTTTTTCTGCAGCTGACAAAAAAAATTAAAAAAGAAATAAGAACTAAATAATATTAAGCACAACATAGAAACCTGAAGGAACAGAGTACCTGAAGAGATCTTTGCGAGTTTAAGCTTTCTCTCT